TCAAGGAACCCTACAGTAGTGCCTAAAAACAACTCACCTACATTCTAGCTTACCTTGTAGTCTAGCGTTGCAAAATCCAAGAACTTGTATGATCTATTTCTCTCCCTTCATGTATACTCTAACCGTTTCATATGGTATAAGGAGACGCTCATCCGTGCTGTTGCCGACTCCCTTCAAGCCTTCCCCTGCCTTTTCCCGTGCATTATTCAGTCTTTTCCTGAAGTAACAGCCGCCCTCTACATGCAGGCACGCCGACCACTAACACACCACACTAATGTGATGTAAAAATGAATGATGAAATTCAAGGAAGCCAAATGAAAGAGAAACTGGTGTGTTTGTGTATGTGTGTGTGTGTGTGTGTGTGTGTGTGTGTGTGTGTGTGTGTGTGCGCATACGCAAATGCTGGCCCTGGTGTGAGCTTGTGTGTGTGTGTTCAAAGGTGAGGCCTTGGGTGATGGAGAATAGGATTCCCTTACCTCGTATAAGTACAGAGGAGGATAAAAGCCAGCTGTAATGACCTTGGTATAATGAAGGCCTTGCTGATTTCCATGATTTCCTTGCTTTCATGCCACAAACCTACTACTCCATAAGAGGGGCAAGAAGGAAAAAGAGGGAGCTTTGTCTGGCCAAACATTAGTAACCAACAACATTTGCCCAGAATCGAACACTAACTCTTGTTCCCATGTTCAAGTCATTATGTAAACGATTATTATCTTGAGGCAAATTAATAGATGAAACACATTTTTCTTAATGGGCTGGTCCTTTTTTTTAAGGTGACCAATTTACGTGCAATTTCCTTAATTCATGAAGTTATTTAGAAAGTGATGCAATGCTTGTTTCTTTTTATCTTGAAAGCAAAGGCAGCATGTTGTCTAGGGCTGCTCAGTGCAGCTAATATGGCACAACGAAATGAAAGGCTTCAAAAGAGCTTTTCCACTTGGAGCTGATGTAGTGCTGTGGCTGACCTCCAAATATGATTAGACTGCAGTAAACACAACAATAGCAAACAATAAACAACTGGTAATTGGTGTGATCCTCTGTTCCAACAAAATCTTTCTTGATTTGCTATGAATTATGAGCATTAATGTTTCTGCACGCCATGCCCCTCTGAGGATATCAAAAAGCTCCCGCTCCATCTTGATGGGTCTTTCTCATTAAAGGAGAAATGGAGGCCAATGTGGGAAACTGATTTACAGTACATTCATCAGTATAACTGGCATGAACTCACCTCTAATTCCTACTGTCTCTGTGCCTGATATAACATGATTATACTCAAATAAATGCTGTTTATGTGTGTGTGCATGTATCAGAAAGAGAGGGAGACTAGGAAAGGTGTAGCCCTGAAGCATCTCAAGTGAAGTGTGCCCTCTACAGGCAGCTGTTGTACATTCTACACGCGTGCCTATTTGTTGTATGTGTATCAATACTGGTGTGAGGAAAATGTGCAGAATTTGCAAAGCATGTCAAAGTTAAAGTTAAGATTTCTTGAGAAACAACATTTACCATATCACATACACACAACATATGAGTCTGTCATGTGTTTGTGAAGGCAGCTGTCGTTGACATGCTCACAACCAGGTTTTCCTGCATAAGCTATCCAGCTCCATACATGCTACCTCTTTCATTAATATGTGATGAGAGAGAAAATCTCCAAAGACCCCAAAAGGCAGAGGCATTGTTTCTCTTTTAAAGTCATCTCAGATGGAAGCAGCAAACTTCAGAGCATCAGTGAAGTGTCTAATGAAAGAAGTCTCCTCCTCTGCGGCTCCATTTCGTGCAGCGTATTAGGAATCTAAATGTTGACTGAAGACAGTTTGATTCTCTGTCTATGATTTTCTTAAGGAATAAAAACAGTGTAGCGTGTTTACAGTGTAGCCATGAAAGAGCTATGAGAAGGCTCATCACTACCCGATGCCATTTTGGGAGGCGGAAAGTGAGGTTCATACCACAGTTCATTTGAAAGCCATATCAAACAGAGAATATTTAAGACCAAGATCAAAGCAATTTCTGGTCAAAAATATCATGAGACCAGCTACATTCTTGTAAAATTGTTACTTTATGCTTACAGTTATTTCAACAATGTCTGGTTATTATTGGAAATCAGACACACAGAGAAATATCTACAAATCTATCCTGCCTCTTAACTTCAGAGTAGTAGTGTGCAATGTGCACAGTGGGTAGTGGCAAAGACACCTAAAGTGATATTTGAGGACCATCGCAGTGGCTCAGGTACATCATGTGTATAACATGCAACTGATGTCTGAAAGATTAAAACAGCCTAACAGCCAAACAGCATGTAATCCTTTTGTGCAACAAAGCAGAAAAATCCCTAAAAATAATCTAAAAGTACCTGGGAGGGTGTAATATTGTTAAAAATATTAAATTGCTTTTGGGATATCTTTGTGAGATGATTTTGAAAATAAGTATTAATATTTCTAATAAATTTCAAATGTCTTACATCAGCCTGCTTAAAAACACTTTCTACGCAATTATTCACTAATCACATTTTCAGTTTTACTTACATACCACGGGTGGCGATGGAGCAATGAGACCCAGGTTCGATTCCCACTGTGACCCAGCCACCATTGTGTCCCTGAGCAAGACACTTAACCCCTACTTGCTCCACAGGCGTGCAAACTCTGACATGCATACCAATTGTAAGTCGCTTTGGATAAAAGTGTCAGCTAAATGGAGATCTAATGTAATCACGTCTTTTATGGATAACAGCCAAAGTAAATATTATTTCCAGCTAAAACATTTAAAATTAAGTTAGCATTTTAGTGCAAAGCACAACATGCTGTAAATGAGATCTTTCACATTGATAAACAACTAGCTTTAAATTGGTTTTGGCCCTAATACTGGATCTCAGCGCAGTTTGGTATCTCTCACAGTTGTATGTTTTGTTCATTCAAAGGAGCTACAGACATTTATTTCTGCACAGTCTGGATAAGAGAAGCAGATGACTGGGGGAAGATGAAAACATCCATATAGCCCTAAATGCTCACTCATGACATGTAAGTTGTTGAGGGGGAGGTAAGGCAATGTCTGCATCAATAATACTTTGACATACATTCACAGTTTGCAGATTTTCAGCACAGATATTATACGTTTCAATTTGATCTTAAAAACAACAGTTAAGGTCATTTGCTGTAGTAGATTACACTGTTTTCCAAAGAACATTTCTTACTGTGTAGGAAATTTGACATGTGCAGTTGGCGAGGAGAACATTGCAGTTTATTGAATAGTTAACAAATTGTTAAAGTGATGAGGTATAAATACACCACAGACTACTTGATATACCCATGTTTTTATATTGTTCCTATCTATGTTTTTGTGTTTTTTTTTTAAAGAGGAATAACCCTTCTCTAAATGTACCAAAATGCTTATTCTCTCTAGGCTTCAAATAACCAAAATGTACTTAAAAGTATGAGCAGGTAAAGCATTAATTATCCATAAAACTTCATATTTGAATAAAACCATATAACTATAATCACAACTCAAAGTCTATTCTCCGTTTTTCTGCACTGAAACAACCGCCAACTGCATTTTGTCACATGAAAATATATATTCTCTACAAAGACATAAATCCCCAAATCACCACGCATTTTAAACTAAAATTAAATTTTACAATGATGTAACCTTTTGCTCCAGAACAGATGTCAAACCCTTGTGTGTACTTTTGATCTTTATTCTGTATTTATTTTACTTTTTAGTTTACAAAATTGGGAAAAATCTGTTAAAACTTTTAAAATTATGTCGGAATATTTGTAACAGATAATGGAGTTCATTTGTTCGGATGACAAAAATGTAACAACATTAGCTGTATAAAAGTTACTGCTGAACATCAGTTAAAAGATCAATTCAGATAAACATGGGAAAAAGAAGCTGAAACATATGTCACTGTGTTACTTTTATGTCCAATTTAAACAGGCGTTTAATTTGAAAAGTACCTATTAAATAAAACCAAAATTAGAGACAGGCTATTCAAAACTTTAAGTTTAGCACCACCAGAATCCCCAGGTTCACTTAAAGATATAAAGGCTGGAATCAGAGGATCTGCAACCTTTGCAATGACAACAATCTGGGAGTCGAGTATCACATTTTGTTTGAATGTTAGAGTGTAATAAGTAAAAGGAAAAGTAATTGGCAAAGTACTATTTAAACCATCCATCTATGTTTAAATTAATTTTGTTATTACACTTGGATAAGCCAAATGTTGTAGGTAAATGGTGCCTTCTTGAGGAATGTTGTTTAAGTAATTTATGTTGCTCCTCAAACGAATAAAATACAATACAAGAGAAAATACAAAAATCTCAAATCTGTATCTGAATCTGGAAACAAAATTTTTTTAAGAAACAAAGAGAGCAAAGTTGTATCTAAACTTATTCAATATAAAACAAACTTAACCATGGCTTATTGCCTATTCTACTCTGTGCATAGACTACGGTACTGTCCAAATAACTCTCTACAGCACATAGCTAAAAACACAACACTTTCAACTTTATTTACTCTCCTTATTAGAGAAGATTGCTTATTGCCTACTTCACAGAGCACCCATATAGCATAGCTGACAGCAGTAAGGGAGAGCTGTACGCATAAACTCCTCACTAACACTTTCCTACACTAACCAGCTGTCCCCCTGTGGTTTCAGCCTCGGCCAAACCTTTGAAATGTCCTTCAAGGCATGAAAAAACAACATGCACACTGCTTTGGGTAAAATTCTATTTGTATACTGTAATTACACTTTGAAAAGTTGCAAAGTTTAAAGTTTCAAGACCTTCACTTTTTCTCTTCTCATTTCTGATATTGATTAGGCTCTAAAACGCATGTTTCTAAAACACACTGTTCTAAAGAACAAAGAGGTTTCTCATTACGTGCTGCGCCTCAGACAACTTTGAATGTCTCAGATTTGATTCACTGGTGTTATCAAGGGAAGCAATCAGGAGAATTCAGTCAATAATTTTCACATGCATGCACATGCAAACACCATTCATTTGCTCTAAAAAAAAAAAGCTGCCAGCACTTTGAATGTGGTTATTAACAAAATAGAGGATTACGGTGATAGCTTTACCTAATGCCTTTCATGCTGAAAATACAGAGAAACATAACATATGGATAAAGTCCATGTCAGGTCAATTTTAGTAAGTCAACAGAAAACTGTTTGATGGTCTTCATCAAGAATAAACATTTTCATTCTTTGCTTCCAAAATGATCTTCAATGTATGCAATTCCATCCTTCATGTCACATGTCAGTCATAAAGTAAAACAAAATAGAAGCATTAGCAACAAATTATTACATAACAAATTAAACAAAAAAATTGATTGGAAAAAGTAGGAAAAAAGTAAGTTTTCCTCGGAGGTATAATTTGTCATTGCCAAAAGGGACAGATTAGTCTAGACAAAATTTGTTATGTTGCCTGCATCATGAGTATAATTACCCAGGAACACTGAATTCACAGAGACATAGAGTAATAAAGTTGTTGTTTTTGGTCACAATGCTTGTGTAGGGAAAGATAATCCAGGTGAAATTGTTATTGTACCATTATTGCCTGACCTTGTGATCATGAAATCTGTCTCAGTAATTTCCATGTTTCATATTAGCTACTCAAGTGCAACCAAAATGTGTTTCTTCATCTGGTAAATATGCATTAAATTAATAGTTGGTGGGTGAAGCCTGCTTTTTGGAGTTACAGAGTTGGAAAGTCCCATCCTGCTGAAAACAATCCACTCCATTTTTTGCCCCGGGTGACAAATATGGTGCATGTAATTTAAACTGACCTTTCCTTGTGTTGCTTGCCTTCTACACCGGGGATGCAGTGACGGAGCCATGATGTCTGGGACCACTCCTCCCTACAGTAATCAATAACAATGTCCAGCTTCATACACACCAGGTGCTCAGCCCAGCTGCTAGGAGGAGTAAGTGTACAAGGAGAGAAAAGAGAGTGGAATCAGGCACAGATGTGTCATTGTTATTCATGCAAAGACAGTCAGGATCAAATTCAGAAGAGGCTATATTGAACACACAGGACTAGTTTCCTGGAAATGAGTACTGCAATGATGACCAGTTCAAATTTGGATTGTGCATTGCAGAAAACAATCGATCATAAATTAACAAAGATAATGCAGATGATACTTATAAATGCAATTTATGAATATAATTGTGTTAAACAAAGTATGTCTCAATGCTAAAATCAAGAAGGCCCATTTCTGACTGGTACATGCAGAGGTGTCATGTAACTATCGGTAAGTACATTTAGTGTGCGGTACTTTTCCTTTTATTTCCATGTTCTGCTACTTTATACTTCTACTCCACTGTAGTTCAGAGGCAAATATTGCACTTTTTACTCCACTACATTTCTCTAATAGCCTACCTCTAGTGATTAGTTGTTATACAGATTCAGATTAACTATAAAAAATATAATCTACAAATAAATTACGATTTATTAGACGTTATGATTTTATTTATCCCTTACTGAAATTCATAACCTACCCACAATTATAGATAGTAAAAAAAAGCTGCAACATTAAAGCCATGTACACAATAATGCATCATTATTTATATATATTAATATACATGGCCATTCTGCATAATGAGTACTTGAGTAGGCTATATTTTGATGTTCTGTTACTTAAAATTGTGAATGCAGGACTTTTACTGTGATATTGCTATTTTTGCTAAAGTAAAAGATCTGAGTTATTCTGCCCCCACTGCTGATAATACAAACCTGCTTTTACCTAAGGAAGATTTCAGATAGAGGACTTGAAATAAGCCGCACTATTGCCACTTTTACTTGAGTAAACGCAATGAAAACTTCTTCGATACTGTTCAGTAAACGTGATAATGAAGTGGAGAGATATATTTGTACAATGAAGCGACGAATGAAGCGTTTTTAACAGGTGGGCAGTGAGTACAAGTTTCTGGAGGAGAAACGGTTGGGGAGCAGTCTGGAAGAGATTACCCTTTTTGCGGAAGATCTCGCTGAAGATCTCGCGTTAGCGCTTTGTGGTTACCAAGGGAACGCGAGCCTGAGAAGTTGACCAGCTAAATGAACACCGGAGATATACCGTTATTTTTGTAATTTACAGGTAAACAGACCAGCGTGCAACATTTTCGCATATGAAGGAAGTAATGTAGAGTCATATAAACTCATGTGGCATTACCGTCCATTCACTTCAAGGTTGGTACTCTTTAGCTAGTCAGCTAACGTTAGCTTGCTAAAGCTATCCTAGCTAACAAACTGCTGTTGCCTGCTCCTATCTAGTATTTTAATACCAACTTAACCAACTCTGTCGGCCTCTTTTCTAAGTAGTCCGGCAGCTTTAAGTGGCGCTAGCTATGTAAATACTGGCTTTAAGCAGCTGTGTTTCCGACAATGGAGTTAAAAATAGCTAACGCTTAGGGTCAAAGTGTGTTTACCACGTTTACTTTTGCCTGCGGACTAAGTCATTGACGTTTCGCGCTAAAATTCAATAACGTTAGTGAGTGTTGGGTATGTACTCAAAGCAAGGACGACTGAGCCATTGCACGCGTTGTTTTCTATCAATCACTGTATTTCTACTACGATGACCAGCTCCTCGATTGTACAGTGACCCCATTATTAATTGAGGTTGTGCTAGAGATACTGAACCGCTGTTGTGTAACTTTACTGTGATGTTAACGTTACTCTTATCTCTACACAGGTGTGTTTGTCAGAGAAGCCGATTAGTAATATTCTGTAAAAAATGCCGTCACCACAAGTCCTCCAGCCGGTTCTTAAAATGAAGGTGGACGAGCTCTTTCTCAACTGGTTGAGTGATCCTGCAACCCAGTTACTGCTCAAAGATTATCTTGACCTAATCAAAAGTGGACAACACAAGGATTTGAGCAGTGGGGACGCCCAGGAAAAAAGGTTGTTGACCTTCAATGAGAACAACAATGTGGCATCCCAGAAGAACCTGGCAGAGAAGAAGCCTGCTTCCTTAAGTACTCCCTCCAGCCCCCCATCTGCCAGTACCCTGCCTTCTGGCAGTAGCAGTAATACTAGACTGACCGGACCCAATGGCAGAGTACTACGGAGGTCTGTCAGCACAAAAAAGGTAAATTATCTATTGAGACAGTAAATTAATAGATCGAATAACATTTACATGGTAACTGAATGTAAAGCATTCTGCTCATTGCTCATGGCCATGGTTCGTGACACTCTTATACATATTCTTATGGAACAGTTTAACAGGTTTAAAAAAGATTTAATTTCTTAAAATATCATGCCACATGCATTTCATCCAAGGTTGCTGTTAATAAAATCAAAAACAAGGTGTGTCCTGCGGTTTCAGCCTTCTGAAGTACCCGTGACTTATGGGTGTGTTGCAAAATCATAGTCTCAGTGAGCTCTGTCTCTGTTTGATAGCAGGTATTTGGAGTAAATCTTAGGTGCAACTAGAGAGAGGTGGGATATATCATTATTTTGCAATGTATACGTAGAATATAATTAAATCCCAAATTCATAGAGATTTTAATGGTTATCTTGTGTTTTAGTAGACTTTACTCTTAATTACTAGTTTATCTGGCACACCTGTACAGTCTGATTCATTCCAATACAACGACCTGGAAGGAATTCCATATTTCTGAAGCAAGCACGATTAAACTGCTTGTTAACTTCATTTAAATCAAGGCGGTTACGATTTGTTACACCTGCACAAAGGAGGTGTCTTTTATTTATATAGGTTGAGTTAGCTGAGAACATTTCACTTTCAACCATAAAATTGAAACCTACCTTTTATATACATGTAAGGATGCACAAAGGCCTTTTCACAGAAAACATTTTATAGTAGAAAGAAGACGAGTGTAAATAATAAATTTAATGATGGCAGAATGCCTTTCAGCTGCTTTAGTTTCAGGATGAGGGTATAGTACATATTGGCAAACTGTCATGTCTCCCTGGGACACAGAGAACAGAGCCAACATTAATGTTATTAGAAACCTTTTGCTTTCCTTTTATGACAGGTCAAGCTTTCGGCTGTGAAAAAAAGCCTAAAAACGTAACAGCCGTTTCAGATTATGATAATGATAATTATGCTTTCATGGGTTTGATAACAAGTCTATGTTGTACCGGCACTGCAGTAAAGCCAAACATTGTACCTCTCTTAGCATAAATATCCAGTTGTAAATTGATTGAGTGGCTGACGTTATGGTTGATCTTTTTTGCTTTAACCCTGAGTTTGATTATACCATCTTTCATGATTGTAGCAACAATAACTGCTGTCCGCTGCAATGTTTTTTTTTTTTTTAAATACTAACACTAGAAGTACTCAAAGGTGAACATTTTTAAAATCCTGAACACAGCGGCTTTATTAATTTATTTAATACATCCTGAGTATTTATTTTAATTTCTAGTTTCACGATCTTGGCCCAAATGAATCCTCTGGGAACTTTAATTTCCTGCGCTGACCACAAGAGGCTGCTGAGTAGCCTACAGGATCAAAGGCATTGAAGGGCTGTCCACTCTGCATTATCATAGTGGAGCCTCCATGTCTGTAGGCATATGTAGTGATTATTAGTCAAATACTTTCCAAATGTTCAGGCCTCACCCATGAATTAGTGTGGTATGCGAGGTGGGAGTGTCTAAACCTAGCCTACCCCTGGCACCCTGGTTACTCATTTTAGCCTGTGTGTTATAGATGTTACTATGCTGTGACTGGGGACTCCACAGGTAAATTTTTTGATTTTTGATTTGCGCTGCTTTGATTATAGAAGAAATTAAGCCTCACAAAGCAGTTAGAAGACTCAAAGTGTTTTTGTGTGTTTTTTCAAGGACTCTCTCAAGATGAGATATTGTGAACATAGTGAGCGTGATGACAGTGAGACAGCAAGACAGCTGGGTGCACATGTTGTGTTAGAGACGCCACCTTCCGCATGTCATTGACATGCGAAAGACAGGCGCGAGGAGGCGTTCAAGTGGTCACTGGTGCGACATGTGTTCTCTCTCTGAAACACAAGGGCTGGAGAACTAGACCGAATGTTAGACTTAGAGCAAGGCAGTTGTGCCTTGAAGATGGTGATGAGGATTTTTATTTTTGCGTTATGGATATAATTATACCCAGCCCACATGAGCTTACAAGTCACCACAAATCAATATAAACCACATCCAGAATACATTTTCCAACACTACTACTACCAAGAGTCCAAAAATATAATGTTCTATAAACATAATCAGATTTTTATACCTTCGTGTCCATAGAAATATTTATGCATTACTTAAAAAGCATATATCATTTTAATCAACTAGAAAAGTAGAAGTAAAGACTAATTAGAAAGTCTATGCTTTCTTTTCCATTCATTTCAGACAAATGTAGCCAACAACAAAAAACGTTTGGAAATGAAACATCGGTTTTTGAGCTCAAGTACACCAGAATATCTCATGTCTAGGTGAAGATACAGACATAGTCTTACAACAGGCGTTTTGTGACCCGATGAGAAATGATTCATTGCTATAACTGAACACAGGAAGAAGGGGATGTAAGACAATAAGCTCTGCAGCAGAATGTTAGTTTCCTTTGGGGTTTTTAGATTTTAGTGTTTCTCATAAGAGTGATCAGTTGGCTTTGAATATTTACCAAGAGCTTTATATCTCTCTGTCTTGTCTGTTTAACACGAGCACTTAAGATGGAACAGTAAGAGGTTTAACAGAATGGATTTGAACTTTTGGATTTTCACATCCACGTCTCTTTCCTCCCAGTGACCTTTGGAGCAACTGTTGGACAGAATGTGTATTCTGTTATGATGTGTCATGGCATGTTGCCACACTGTGCCACACAATATTAAAGGGATTGTGAGATTGTATAAAGTAATACTTCTATTTTAAGACAACAAAATGAATTCCTGCATACAGATACATTCTTCAGAGGATTACTCAAAAATTCAATTTATGTCACACAGGTGCAGCCTGGAACAGCTGGTCTGACTTTGACATCAGACACTGATATAGATAGCCTTGGTTCTCTTGTGTTGGCATTAAATACCCAGAACTCTGCCAGTGAGATGAGGTGTGGCAGCACATTCATCCTGTGTTATTTAGTCTGAAACGGATTCTGTTAAATCCTGCAAATTGTCAGAATATGTGGTCGTAGATCTTTTATTTTCACTATGCACAGTAAATGTCAGCTCCCCTTGAAAGCTTGGCAGAAGTTTCAACATTTCCTTTGTGGTATGAGTTCAGTAGATCACACACACAGATACTCAATAGTTTTAGTAAAATAGAACAGTAGAAATGAATTTACTTTTGAGGGTTTGTTTTTTCTTCTGTTTTCAGCATCCACATTTAGGATCATAGGTTATTTCTCGACATGTATTTTTATAACATGCTTGGTTGGGCTCAGCAACATTGAAGCTATTTGAAGCAGGCATCTAAGGTCACGTTATGTTGCCTGAACTGTCAGAGAGAACCAGGTGTTGAACTGTTTCCCGCAAGTCCCTTTTATTTTGGAGTCCTGGAGACTTGCGAGTAGGGTTGTGCCAAAATATCGATACCATATCATTATACATTTTTCCATGATACTGTATCCATATTCCAGCCCATCATATCAATCCATAATTTATTTATTTTTTTTAAATAGCGCTTTGATGATTTGCTCAATGCTAACGTATAATGGGAATCTCCATTAATGTGCTAATGGACATTAGTATCGCGATAATATAATCTTAACATAAACAACACATTTTGCTTCACATGCTTAACATCCTGAGTGACATACTGTGCAAATTCTTAAAGTAGATATGGTTCCTGAGCTCTGTGTGAAATAAATAAGAGCTGCTACTCTGCTGCTTCAGCACTCTACACTGACTAGCTACAGCAACCCCAAAGGGTCAAAACTCAAACCCAGAATTTCCAGTGGTCTAAATATACAGCTAGATGGAGAAGGTATGTATTTGTATGTTGCATTTTCAAAAAATCTGTAAATTCAGTGAATTTACATTTTGATGTGCCTTTTATAAAGAAATGTTTATTATATTCATTTTTCATAGTTGCTCTAAGTTCTGTAATTTAATTTATAGACTGAAAAACATGTGCTGCAGAATTGTGCTGTTTTCTAACAGTTTGGATTTGCAGCAAAAAATTAAAGAAAACCTTTTTTACGGGCAATTTGTATTCATAGTTAGACAGAGATTGTGATGTATCATTTTAGGATTGTCTAGCAATATATCAATTTTCACAGAATTGCTGTATTATTGTTATCGTGAGCCGTGTATCGTATCATGAGGTACCCTGTGATTCCCACCCCTACTTACGAGTGTAAAATGTGTACAATTGCAAACCTTGGGTTTCGGCTAGAACTCAGCTGGTCTAGGCCTTATGTGAGATTGCACAAAGAAACATGTCTGTCATCCTATGCATTTTGAGAATATTTGGCATCTTCTACATTTATGAGATTTGAGCCAAATTGATGTTTGTTTTTTTTCACCTACCCTAGTTTTGTCATTAGTCTCAATTGACTGGGGGGGGTTGTACCAGGCTGTAAACATGTTTATTTCTGCTATAAACATGTTTATTTCTGCCAATCCCCCCATTTGAACATTGAACATTTTTTTGGAGCTATACTTAAGGGGCAGTTTGAGGAACTGCAGTTTTTGGCTTAATTTTTCTGCCCTGGAAGTTGCCACTTGGTTCTGACCCTTTGCTCCACTTCCTGTGCTATGTAAACTACAAAGATTTTTCAACAAACATCCATGATAATTGTCCAACTCTGCATTTGCATTATTACTCTTATGCAAGATAGCTGATCTGCTCACATCATGTTCTGCTTGCTGGCCTTCTCTGAGCCTACCATGTTGTTATTTAATCAGGGCCTATTTTTGGCCCACTTTCACATGAATCCCAAATCCCTGTCTGAAACATCTGATTGTGGTGGATTGAGCTGGAGCTTTCTGAATTTTAGTGCAGCATCGTTACTGTACCCATGCTGTAGTCACTTATGTGTGGATTCGCTGTGGTACATGTCACTGGTTCAATCATGTTAGTAATGCAGATACTGAAGCCCACATATTATTTGTGGGACACTATGAGTGCTTGTGTTGACAGTTTAGGGATGCCCTCTGGGAAGTTTTTATCGGTTTTGCCCCACCCTTCTGTAATATGTTTCACTCCATTGTGGTTGCCTGTCTGCTCTGCATGCTGTCTCTTGAATATCACAGTTTTAGAGCAATGAGAGAGTGCCTTTTTGTTAGAACAACTTCTGAATAGTCATCGGACAGCTGGAAATTCGAACATCTAGACAATAGTCACTAAATCCAGACAGTGTGTTTAATAATCTTACCTGTTACGTAATGAAGCGAACTTGACTGGACACATGTTTCTGTGTAAATGAGATTTATCAGTATACAGATTAGACATATTTGGGGTCAGCCTGAGTTGTCATGTTTTTTTGTTTGTCACAGTGACCCATTAAAGTATGTGGACACACTTTAGCAGCCTGTCTGACCGATAGTTGCCTCACAGGGTGATGGACAACCTGCTTGTAATGGCCTTAAGATGATTTTGGTTAGTGGTGATGCTCATCCATTCTAGTTCTTCTGTAAGAAGCCTACTTACAGAAACTGTGAATGTTGTTGCTGTTCACACCATGTGTGCCTGGATTGTAAAACACCAATGGGGCTGTTACCTCATATGTAAACCCCACATCATTATCCCTGCTGTGTTTATCTCTGTTTATGGAACACACTTTCAGATTCAGGGTTTGCTTGCTCCAACACAAAAACTGTCAGTTTTCCACAGTTTCATGTGATCTACCAGGTTTTATTTCGACCTTGGTGCTTTCCTTTCCATATTTGATTTGAATTGATGAGTATGAACAAAAAGCAGCCGGTGTGAAAAGCCATCATACATGCAACTTATCAAGCATGTACAGCATCCTGTGTGGAGGATAACAGGAACTGGGTTTGAGCAGAAACCAGTGGAAAACTGTGGACTTTGTGATCCTATCATCTAAAAATACTGTGGGTGTGCTTTCACTTTCTAACAACAACATCAACAAATACAGGTTTATTTATGTAGTCTACTGATGTGGACATCTCTGTACCGTTTCTGTTGAATTAACATTTACATCAGCAGGCGTATAGTAGGTAGGTGTGGGGCTTTCCCTGTGTACAGTCAGTGCAGTGAAGCTGTAGATCAGCATATTCATGGTGAATTGAGGTAATTGCCATCACTCCAGGACAGCAGCAGCCGGAAGCAGATGTTTGTTAGAGGACTAAAGATACACCCTTGTTTCTCCAGATCGAGTTTCTTGAATTACCGCAACAGTGCTTGCTGGTGCTTTTAATAGGTGCAGACTGGTTTGGTCATCATTCTTTGAATTTGACATGCCCAACCCCCTCTCTCTTTCCTGTCAACTATAATAAGACGTGGAATGGCTGGCAGTCCAAGCTTGCAAAGGGAAGGCAAAACAAACACCATCATTAATTGGAAAAACAAACTGCAGGAAAGTTGATTATATTTACAGTATGTCTTAGTTTTGTGTGTGTATCATCTTGTGATTTGACCTACACTCTTGTTATCTATTATTAAGTAGTCATACCTGGGTTTTATTTATTTGCCAATGCCTCAAGTGTCTGTCTGCTGTTTTTGTGATTTATACTTTCAGGCAGATTTAGTAACAGATGTAAGCAGATTTAGCAGAAGTAACATGTGGTTTTCATTATATTTCATCACTTCAGGGATTTTACTTTGAATTTTCCTATTAGCGTATCTATGTGCTGTCCAAAAGAGAGGGGGTCCAGTTTGCAGGGCTCAGAGCACAAGCAAAGATTCTCTGGTATTCGTCGTGTGGGAGCTTTTGAGAAAGTAAGCCAGTGAACATGAGCAGTGTGTCATTGTGGTATCGATGTGCATCCCTCAGTTGGCTTCTGTAGCTGCTGCAAGCTGCAACAACAGGTCTGCCTCTTTACATAACCTTCCATGAGTGCTGAAGGAATGCAAACTGGAAAGGGCAGATCCATTGCACACACACCCCTCCCATCCCACACATACACTAAGTGACTCCCATACACATACATCCCGTCACTTCTTATCTCACCAGCGGCTTTGAGGCAAGGGCTCCCTGACCCTGTGCAGTGTGGGTTTGTGTGTGCGTATGTGCGCATTGTATCGAGACTGGGACAGAGCAGCAGGCAGAGCTGAGATTGTGCGACTAGATCTGAAATGGGAGAGTGTGTCACAGTAGCAGCTGCTCCCTTGCATTAAGAGGCTCTCACTCTGACAGAGGACAATCACAGGGACACAAACGCAGAGGACTTCCACTGCCGCCACTGCCTTTTGCTTACATTGCTGACTGGTACTCAGTCATTTGTACAGTGAAGAGGATAACACTAGATTGAGTCTTGTGTTTGTGTATATGTGTTCCCCATCCTGTCTGGAGCGAGGATGAGGATGAGGGAGTTGTCTCTGCGTCAGGACCCTGACCTGAGGAAGGAGTTGGCTCTGCTGGCACGCGGCTGTGACTTTGTTCTGCCCTCTCGGTTCAAGAAGAGACTCAGAGCCTTCCAACAAGGACAGGCAGGTGTTTTTATGAGTATACACTGTACCACACAGGCTGTGCTGGCCTGTCAGCCAGTGAACATGTCTATTAATGTAGACTGGTATTTGTGGGCTTCATATCTTGGTATTCAGAGATGCGTTAGTACAAATTTGCTGTATTATAGGCTGCTCTTAAAGTAATGTACCTATTCCTCCCTGTTAACAATTATTCTTAACAAAGTGGAACTTTAGGTGTTGTTGGAGCCAGCTGCTCCTTGGATAAGTGAGGAAAAATGAGCGGTTACATGATTTTATTTAAAACTTTCATCAAAAAGCTTACACACACTAATGTGCCATATGAAATGCGATTGTTGTTCAATCATATACACTTTTGTTAGTGAACTACTTTTGCAGTTCTTACATTGTACAGAGAGATATGAAATGTGAGCCGTGGTTATTGGGTGATGTTTCATCTTGTGTTGTGGTATGTTTTGCTCAGCTGCTGTACTGTCGTCTTTAAGACCACATCATTGTGGATGTGCAAAATGTCATGAGGCTTAGCGGTTGTGCTCAAGAGCTCTGCTAGCGGTTAGCATGAAGCAAGAGAGAGAGGGGGACAGTGCTGGGCAGGGCAACAGGAGATGTTTATGTCCTTTTATAGCCATGGCTGACACCAATACATGGGACAGAGAAGAGCAGAGGATCAGCAGCATTTATCATTTATCAGGTTAAAATGAGCTGATTACCACTGGCAGAAAAAAGCAGCACATTTTCAATCAGTATTGACACATATACATGTAGAAGTTGACATGTCTAGATTTAGCCCCCTTATGTTATCATCTATAATTTTAAGGATTTAGATCATGTTTTCACCTGATGATTATATGTAGGCTTTGTGAAATCTAACTAGAGGTGAGAACAATGGGTAGAATGTGTTGGAATAAACAAACGACACAATGGTATTTTTATCTCTTAGCAGAGGACTGTGTGGGGTCTTTTTATGTGATTATTAAAGGCCATGGAGACTGATCCAGTTAGCAAATTCTTGAGTTATGTAAATAGTCTTTGGGTATGAGATGACGATTGAGAGTGAAGCATGCTCTGCTCAAGCTGTTTTTAGTAACACATTTGGATCCTAATGCATTCTGGCTATGAAAATATCTTCCTCTACAGCAAGACACCCAGGGTAGATGTTATCAATGAATATGATCTTCTCACAGTATGTCAGCTGTGCCCAGTTGGAAAATCATACTAGTTTGGAATCAAATATGTCATTACATTAAGGTGTGGGCCCAAAGTTGCATGACGTCATTGTTACTAGACTTTTATATATAGGTTTGGATACACTGGTTTCCAGTGCCATGATTAAAAAGCTTAATAGCATATGCTGTAAAGCCCTCACACATGTAGCTATTATTTTGGGTCATAGGCAAAAGTAGTTAAAAGGACACAGACACAGATGCTCAACCTCTGACATACAGGAAGGTTTCTGTATAAATGACAGGTGTGGCACTTTGGAATGAGTTGGTCAGGTACAGAGAGTAGAGATTTTACTCGAGCTAAGCCTTGTGTCCATTAATGACTTAAAGCTAACAGACCCTAAACCCCTACTGTAACACACACAATTCATCCATCACTGATGTTATTTGTAACACGTACAATTTATTGATATTTTTGATAGTATTGTCCCTCTCCAGAAAAATGCAGTCAATAAGACGGATGTGTTCAAATCTTTTACTAATTAAAGATCCAGTCAGTATTTGTTAAGCACATCATTTACACATATATTAACATGGATCATAACACTAAGAGTTTGATTTATGAATGAAATCTAAGCGTTCTGTGTTTTCTTGAACTGACTATTGAAAATATCTCCTTTAAAATGACTTTTAAAAATGTTTTTAAAAACTTTTGTGGTTGTCTGGTGTTTCCATATCTCATGTTGTTTAGAGCTACCATTTTGTTTACAGTTATTTTCAAGTAATGACTACTACTCATTTCCCATTAAGATACCAAAACAAAAAAGCCTTTACACCAATTAGTTGACATAACTTAGATGGTTAATTTATTTATGTATGTTCAAATGCTTGTGTGTATTATATAAAAAGAATTTGTGTGAAGGCATTAGCACATGCTGGAATGTGTGAGCTGTGAGGTGTTAGCTTTTGCTAGCATCAGTAGCTAACAGTTTATTTCTGTGTTTATCTCAGGCTCAGGTGAGGACGCAGGAGCCCGTCACCACAGCGTTGAGTGAAAGCATTCCAAAGTTTTACTTCCCACTGGGACGGCCGCAAGCCAACCTCAACATCGACAGCCTCATTTCCAAAATTGAGAAAATATTTTCCCAATTCCCAAATGAAAGGGCCACCATTGAGGACATGGGGCAGGTTGCCAAGGTGAGAATGTGATTTGTAGCATGGAGGTTTAGCTGCCACCCAGCAAATTATTTTCATTAGTGCCATTTAGTTACTGACTTTACGAATGTTTGCAGATTTTAAAACGCTCTGAAAATATTATCTCTCTCCCTGAGAAATGTGAGCAATGTCCTGGGGGGGAACCCAAGTGACGAGAGAAATGGCCGCTAGGTTTCCTCAGGGAAGTCTTTTAAAGGTACAATGTGTAAGAGATGGCCAGATGTTTTGTTTAAAACATTAAAAAAAGAAACTTGATCAATAGAATATGAAGAAGAAGATGTATTGTGTTGCAGATATATCTACTGAAGTTAGCAAGCTAACCAGCTAGCCCCAGCCACTCCTGTGTTAGAAAACCACTTGTGCCTCTGCGATCACTGTAGCGTCCAGTCTGCTCTCAGCCCAACATGAGAGGACAAAGAAGTAGTGCCCCAAGGGCTTGTCAATCAATGCTTCTGCACAAGCTGCTCTCCCTTGACCTCTCGTTCCTCTGCTACCTTTTTTTGTCTCTGTGCCACCATTTGAACTGTGGGAAGACTGGGTGTCCAATTGCTGTTGTCTGGGGACATACCGGAGGCGGGAGCGCCCTGAAGCGCTGCCCGCTTCTTTTTGGCACTCATGTTAACCAATTGGGCTGTTCAGACAGAGCTGTGTTGGTACAACCGCGAGCAAAACTGGCAAGAAAGCACACTGATAATTTATTAAACCATACAAATTATATATAATTTATGACATAAATGATCTGATTCTGATAAATCATGAAATATACGTCCCATGTTTGCCAATCCTTGATTTCTCTGACCTCTCTCACCGCCATTCTCCTGGAGTTTCAGTTCCCCTGATTCTTCCCCCTCCTCATGATGAAATAGCAAAGTCTTACCATCCACTATAACCATTGTGTTTTTAAATTTTATACTTGGGGTGTGATGAGAAACTGAGCCCACAAGATCGAGACAAAACAAGATTTTAAACATTATTTTCTACACCAATCCTATGGTAGAAATGTTTTATTTATTTAAAGGCAAACACACAATTCAGGTGGCAGGTGACAATGCAAAATCTAAAACTATAACAGAATATAATACACTAAGGCTGTCAGGCATTCTCACTTTCAGATATGTTTTCTCCTGTAGATCAACTTTTCTCATGTAATATCATCCCTGCTGAGTCAACACACATGCAGGCATGATTTAGTCTTCCCTCCTCTTTTGTGTTTTGTTTGGGGTAGTAACCTCTTTCAAGGTGCATGTGGCACCTTTTCACCTCAATGATAAACGAATTATATAAATTCATTTTAATTCAGTTATAAACTCTTGGACTTTAATTGCCCCTCTGGTTCAGCATGTTTTCTGCTCATGTTCAAAACTCTGTAAATTCAAAATTACAAGACTATAATTGAAAATTCATAATAATTGTTACTTATTATTATACTCTGCTGAGTATTAACGTTACTTTGTTGCTCTGCTGGTAGGAACGTAGACCCTTCAGACATTCTGGAAAAGAAAACTAACTGAAAACACTTCTGATGAGGCAGAAATCAACACATTCTCACAAATGTTAACTTCGGCACCTCTGATAAAGTGCAGCTCACAGTCCCAAACAGAGCAAGTTTGCGCCTCAGTTATTAGATGTTTATATTGCAAAAAATACCAGATACTTTACCACTCTGGCTGCAACTCCCAGCGCGAGAGCGAGTTCACTTGATTGTTATCACAGCGTACACCGGTGTCGCATCAGCTGGGCCGAGTTGATTTGCTCTGTGAGTCGTCGTTATCAGTTATAGATTTGTTTTTCACTGTGTGAGTCTCACAAGACAGTTTTTAACCTGATGAAAAATCTCGTCACATTTTAATCTCGTGGAACGACATCTTGTCACACGGCTACTTATTACACATATTATAGGGTATTATAAAGATCAGATTATAAGCTGTAATTATACATATGATTAGAAAAGAGCAGGGGAGCAGAATGACTTAAAGATCAGCCTGGCTGAGGGGGAGGAGGATGTGAAATGCCTCCTATTTGTTTGGAGCATGTGACCAGGAATTACACATTGTACCTTTTGTGATGCAACACTGCGCTACTTTTCATGTGTCATTAACAGTGTCGTGTGTTATTGTGTTGTTCCTTTCTGTACTAAAGATCACGTGTATCTTGGAAGTTTCAGAGCTTATTTAAAATGTTTCCCATCCCATCACACACTGCCCCATCTCTCCTGCTTCCTTGTCTCCCTAGGCCTGTGAGTGTCCCCTCTACTGGAAAATGCCATTGTTCTGCTCGGCTGGAGGCGACAGGACCGGCTTCGTGTCTGTTCACAAGTTTGTGGCTATGTGGAGAAAGTAAGACAATTGGTCCTTATTCTCACTGGACCAATGGTATACTCGCAGCTTAATGACTCATACAATGTCCTCCGAACAATGATGACCACTTGTTAAGATTGCTCTGCTGTCATGGCATTTTCCTTTTTCTTTTGTAAACAAAAATTATTGATCACAAGGGAATAGTTGCTGGCATATACAGTGGTTGAACGAAAACATCCATTCAGGGACTTTATGCGTGAAATTGAATAGAATACCATAGGGCTTTTGTAATGGTGGCTGGCGCTTAGCTGTGTGCTGTTGTATGCAATAGGCATGCTCTTGTATTAATGCTTGAGCCTCCAGAGAACTGGACAGATCTGGCCTTTGACTTGAGCTCATGACTGAGCCATTCTAAGATGAGAGGCCACAACAGACGCTTGCATTATTTCCCCGTTGCTACCATAACACTCAATGCTCGTAATCACCAGGCAGCGATTCAGAATCCTAATTTCAGAATGTATTATACCTTTGAGGGGAACAATTTCAAACGTATGCTCTTGAAAGAATGATAAAAAGGATAGCGAGAACATAAGGAGTGAAATGGGGAGTAACCTTGCAACCATCTGTTCTCTCTTTTCTTCTCCAGAACTCTGCAGACCTGTCACGATGACGCTTCTAAATTTGTGCACCTCTTGGCCAAGCCTGGCTGTAATTACCTGGAACAAGACGACTTTATTCCATTCCTGCAGGTACTGGCTGCAGCACACCCAGGGAGAGGGCTGTGCTTGGCAATGTGGGATGGCAAAATTGCATTGGCTTGGGCAGTGTGAACTGGAGTTAATTTTTGGATTGGCTTGCTGACGCAGTGCTTTTTCATGTGGCGGAGGACTAATTCAGGGACGTTACTATAAGCTGAAAATGTAGTGGAGGTGGGTGTACTTAAGGGAGGTTCCATTGGAGCAGACTCAAGCTGAGTAGAAATTCACCAGGGAGGATGGAGATGGATTTGGGTATCATACACACATAGCACCAAAATAATCCTAGAAAACATTGATCGATTTATCAAATTGTTTCATAAGAATAGTCTAATTGACTGTTTGGTTAGTCTTACCATGTGGACCTGCTGTGCTGGCAGTTTGTATTCTCATTTTCCCCTGACAAGCTGTTGGTGCTCCACACTAGCCCCGCCCTACACCTGATTCATTTTCATGCTGGCAGGAGCGGCAGGGCTGTAGTGAACACCCGTTAGCATACGAGCAGAGATGCCTTGTGGCACACACAGTTTAATTTGTATGGTTCCGCTCAGCAAATTGACTTTGACTGTTTTGATGAATGAAAGGCGGATTGCAGTGGAGTAGATTTGACTGTCCCCGCCTGTTTCCTGTGCCCTGTGATTTATGTGTTTCTCTATGATTTAATTTCTCACAGTAAGAGTCAAAGAGGCGCGACGGCTGCCCTGAAATAAGGCCTTTTAATTTCATTGCCGCCTTCGCATTTATGTCAACAATTTTTTTCCCCCAGCAGAAGGGAAGGGGTTTGAATAAAAAAAAGACATGGGCAAGCTTCTTGGCAAAAATATAGAATATATAGAGTTCATTTGGAGTACAGCACTCCCCCTGTGACTTTATGACATGTGGAAGGAGAGAAGGTTAAGAGCAGTCACTAGCAGACGTTTTTTCTCTGGCCTTCTCACAACTTTGCTGTCAAATCAGAAAAGCTTAAGCTCATCCCAAAACCGGTTGACCCAGTGTTTTCTGACTTCAAAGAAACATTTAAAATTGATGGCCTCTCCCAACAAGGCCTGGAGCCTTTTCTTTACATTTCAGAATTTATAAAGCATATGGCATGACAGTGATGTAGATAGAAACTGACAACTTCTGATGTTTGAATAAGTATGCATTTATATGCTTACTCTGAATGTCATGTGCTTTGTCTACCAAAAAAGAAAGACGTGTGGTTTGCCATTAAACTCACCTCTCAGAGTAACTGCAGAATTTAACTGAACATGTGTATTGAAATCTTTGAGTTGTTCTTTTGCATTTGTGTTTGTTAGTTTTGGGTTTTTTTTTTTATGGAAATGAGGCACAGACAATATGAGCTGACTTTACTTTATGTTTTCAGGATGTGGTGAACACACACGCAGGCCTGGCCTTTCTAAAGGAGGCACCGGACTTCCACTCACGATACATCACCACGGTATACTACCCTAACACAACTAGTAGCACATTACTATTGCAAAACTGAAAGTAGTGACACATTAAATAGCGCCGCATTAATTCATTTAGTTAGACATGACAACGCTGCCAACTGTTTTTCAGGTGATTCAGAGGATATTCTACAATGTGAATCGGTCATGGACTGGAAAAATAACAACTTCTGAGCTCAGAAAAAGTAACTTTCTTCAGGTAAGTGTCTCAAATTCATCTATTTTCTGTTACTATATGTCCCTGCTGGTCCTTTAAACATCTAAATCATACATCTCTTATGTTTTAAATACACTGGAATTTGAAAGTCATTAAAATTTCAGTCTTTATTTTCAGTTGCACAGTCACAGGTTTTAATAGAAACCTTAATGCCTTAATGCTGAACCTAATATAAATACTAACATTTAGTTATTATTAATTTATTTATTTTACAATAATCAGTTTGCTTGCTTTTTTCCAAAAGAGAAACCTGTGTTAATAAGAAATGACTTATTGGAAGAAAATTCCATTTCATATCAATTCAGGTCTTATTTTTTAATCATTTGACCAATCATTTCTATCTGTTTTGGTAACATTCTCGCCAATGTAATTGCTGGAATCTGGGAACGCGACAACGTTCATCTCCAACTGGACAAAACACATGTGTTGTCAGATAATGACGCAGGTTGTAAACAGTTTAACAGTTTACTCACATTATCTAAACCACTTTATTTGGAGGTAAAACTAAGAGAGAGGACACCTAAAATATTATAACTCCCCATTGCACTGAAACACTGTTTGCACGTACAACTCCACCAAGTGTAGTAGGTCTAAGGTGAACAAGGAAGTTGGTCTGTAAACTATAATAGAAGTTTACAATTTATAATATTAACAGTGTTTTGTTAAATAGTACATAAAAAAAACTTCTTTTTTTCTGTCCTAGAATGTGGCGTTGCTGGAGCAGGAAGAGGACGTGAACCAGTTGACAGAGTTCTTCTCCTATGAACATTTCTATGTTATCTACTGCAAGTTCTGGGAGCTGGACACTGACCATGACCTCTACATAGACCAGAAGGATCTGGCACAGCACAGTGACCAAGGTGCGGAAGCCAACTACACTAGAATGGACTCATTTTGAAATATGTTGCAGAATTTGTTGTATTTGGATAAAATGCATATCTTATAATGACATTCAGATTTGTTGGCACAGTCAGTAGGCTGAAACTCACACACAAACACATACTGGGGGGGGGGGGACATGTCTTTGACACGTCTACCCCACACACTCAACGCCACATGTTCTTGGTTGATGTACTATGAGTGAGACAGGGGAAATGAGACACAAGATCAATTGGAGAGCAGCGTATATACTCTGCTCCAATGACGCCATGTCTGGAACAATTTCTACTACTATATGGTCAAAATGATGACCAGAGGATTTATAGCATTGTCAAGATAAAAAAGAGCTTCCCTAGCAAGTCCGGATTTACAGTCTGCGAGAATGGATTACATGTGTTGTGAAAAAGCTGTACATTAAGTGAGAGCTTTTGTATAAGAGAGAACTTTTTGTGTCTGGATTGTAAGTAATCTTTTTCCTATATTTTTTCCAGCACTCTCCCATAAGATGATTGAGAGAATATTCTCAGGAACAGTAACAAGGTGAGTAAAAATGTAATAGAGTTTAAAGGATGCTTATCATAAGTAGTAAATAATTCTATTGAACAATGTTTTAGAAAAGATGCATTATATGGTTTTATTTCACCTCTGGTTTCAATTGTGTGGTTTATTCCATCAGAGACAGACGGGTGTATAAGGAAGGGCGTCTGAGTTATGCTGATTTTGTCTGGTTCCTCATCTCTGAGGAGGACAAGAAGACTGACACCAGGTAGCTGGACTCAAAGCCGCACTGATTGCATCTTCTGTTTCTTTACAGCCTTTGTGTCTTTTCTCACATGCACTTCTGCTCGCTGATCTTTCCCATTATCTGTGTGCAGTATAGAGTACTGGTTCCGCTGTATGGACATGGATGGGGATGGCGTGCTCAGCATGTACGAGCTGGAGTACTTCTATGAGGAGCAGTGCCAGAAGCTGGAGGCCATGGCTATTGAGCCCCTTCCCTTCGAGGACTGCCTCTGTCAAATGCTGGATCTTGTCAAGCCTGAGGTCGAAGGTCAGACCTGTTTTACATGAATACTCTCAAGAGTTCACACACCAGAGAGTCTTAATAGGTTAAATTTTTCTAACACACATACACATTTTCAGGCCGGGTCATTGATCATTAGCTGAGAGAACCGTTATAGATGAGAGACTGAATGCCTGATCTGGACTGCCTGCAGCCAGCTGTTAGTGTCATCTACACCATTAAATTCCCTCCAGCACTTAGCTTTTCCACTATGCCATTTAGAAGACAGTAGTCCATGGTGAGGGTATGCATATTTAGTATTGCTAGCCACAGCAAGAATGTGACTGTTAGTTGACCTGGTGGTATGCTGTACTAGTGGAGTTGTGATATAACGTAATGAGATGTAACAACCTGACTGTCTTTGAGGCAGCTGTGCCTCCTCCCATCAACACAACTTTTACAATGTTAACAGATTTAAAAAGGTCTGTTAAAATTTTACATTAAATGCCACATTCTTTTGGAGTTTTGAGGTCTGCGGTACAGGCAACAGGCCTACATTTGATGGCAAGGAACGTGACATAATATGCTGATCAGATGAGTCTGATTTTTATAAACAACACACAGAACGTCAAATCTTTTTTCTGCTCATTCAAAAGCAGAAAGTATGATCCATTTCAGACAGCGCATAATAAGTTATCTGTTGTGTTTAAAGTTAATTTTAAGATTTTATACTTTGAGAGCTCATTTACTGTATGTCTTATTGTAAGGTAAAACATCTTAAACTTTGAGCTAAGCAGCAGCATCTAAACAGCAGCCATGGCTCCTTTTCTGGAAGTTTCATTTGAAGGCTTAAAATTAAAGGTGATTGGGCTTTTGGTGTCAGTACCCCTGAGCTTTATAAGCAGTCACATGAGAAGGTTAGGCTGGCAACATCCGTGTGATGTTTAAAATCAGCCTTTCAGTTTATTTGACACAGGTTTGAAACAGATGAGGTTGATGACTTTTTTTCATTATGCAATTAATCATTTTATATCATTGATCTGATAAAAATCCAAACATTTGCTGGTAATAGATTATCAAATCTGAAAATGTTCTGTTTTCACATCTTTATAAATTGAATATGTTTTGTTTTTTAACCAAAACAATTTGAAGACTTCACATGGGGCTCAGACACAAGGATGATTCAGTTGGTGAAAAAAGTATTGAAAGATTCTTTGAATAAAAAAAAGAAAAACATAGTTGCACAAGTTTAATATACTGTGGCCCAGACAGTTTTTGGTTTGATCAGTAGGAAAAAGGCCACATCCTTAAACCCTACATCTAGAAAATGAGGGAGAGTGACTGACATTTACTGAGTCCGCCAAGTCTCAGGCCAATTTTGAAAGCTAGATTTGACGGCAAAGTCATGCTGAAAACCTTGAAGTGAGACCTCTTAAATACTTTAATAATACCCATGCCATAAATCATCTGTCACTAGTTAAGTTTGTGTGTGAAAACCTGTCTAAAGTGCATATTTTATCCCATCCAGGTAAGATCACTCTGCGGGACCTTAAAAGGTGCAAGTTGTCCCACATCTTCTTCGACACTTTTTTCAACATAGAGAAATACCTGGACCACGAGCAGAGGGACCCATTCTCTGTTATAAGGGTAAGGTTCAACTCTGATTGGATGTCACCAGATGTGAGATAGTATCAGGACTTGTTTTCCTGTCAGAGGTCAAGTGTATCATGAAACCTGTTGTGTTTTTAAGGAGGTGGAGACAGACGGCCAGGAGGTATCAGACTGGGAGAAATATGCTGCAGAAGAGTACGACATTCTAGTGGCTGAGGAGGCTGCCAACGATCCGTGCAACGAAGTGTAAGTCTGATTTGACCTGTGGGACTGTTCAATAAGGCTGAAGTTACCATCCTGGGGCCTTATTACAGAAACAAGCCACCTGTCTTAACTAAAGTTTCAAATACTATCTTTCTATTACAAAAGCACTTCCTTAATTCATCGTTGTGTCCTATCCTATCTCAAACCTTAACTTAAGAAATCCTAACTAGAGCTGTAAATTCGATTCTTGAATCGGCACTCGTCCTGTCATGCCTGTATCTGTGTTTAGAATATACACGAGGTTGCTTCTATCCATGACGGCTCGCTCACTTAACTTGTCACTGGCTAGCTAACTTGTTCTAATGGACAAGATGTCGATCAAATTCAAAATGAATCATTTTAGCAGTCGACCCATAAATATATAATTCCCGGGAAATTGTTGGGCTTCTGTAAATAACATCACAGAGTACGGTCTAGACCTGCTCTTTTATGAAAAGCGCTGTGAGATAACTGTTGTTGTGATTTGGCGCTATATATAAATAAAATTGAATTGAAAATTGAAAAATACATGATCAGGGAAATTTAAAGAATCGTCATACTGTTTGAAGTAGCCTTTCAGTCTTAATATTTTGGTGTTCATGTTGTTCCCCATCTTCAATGTAATGTAATTGCCATACAGACCTTGCTGCCATTTTGGCAGTTATTTTGAATTTAGGACAGGCTCTACATAATCTTAATTTATTATTCCTAATTTAGGCATTTCATCAGTTCAGGACGGTTCTTTAATAGCTAAAATACTATCCTAAGAGGAAGGATAGGATTTTTTTTCTTAAGTTAGCAGTTAGGAAACATGTTTGTGTAATACCAAAAATCCTAAATGTCATCCTAAACTGAGATAAGATGGGATTTCAGACTTAGGATGTTTCTGTAATGAGGCCTGAATTTATCATACTGCTAAAAGTATGAACTTCAAACTTGAGTGAAATAAAAATCTTTCACTTTGACTCTTACCCATAATCTTAAAAAAGCTATAACAGTTATTACATTTCTTAGAACTTAAAATTGCTCTTAAATTTAAGTGAGCTTGATGGCTGTAGTAATGGAACTTTCTATTGTACCTTGTCTTCCAGCTGCAGAATTTCTTTCCTGCTCCAGTTTAGTTTTCTTTTTTTATCAATTTCAGCCAATTTCTTATAATTTCATCTCCATTTGAATTCTATAAATATATTAAGATTGTTAATTTCTCATGGTAATTGCCAGTGGAGATAAAAAGGGATTCACACAAATAAAATTTACTTTTATGAATAATACAATTACATGTGTTTTTCCAGAATAATCACTGTGTAAAATGTATGGTCTTTTCGAAAGAATGAACAGCATGGCAGATGTAGGGTAAATCCTTGTCTCTGATTGACTCTTCCTGCTTGAAGCATACATATGATTAAACATTTGATCACTTAAAGTTTTCACTTAAAGCTTTTAAAGGTTATTCCGACACTTGGCAGCTGGTAGCAGCGAATAACTTTTTTACTCCTAAGTTTTTGCTATACAGCAAGTGTAAAAGTTTGATAAATAGGGGCCCTGATTATTGTATTAGCTATTATAATTACAAATATTTATCATGAATATGAATTCTGTATTAACAATATTGTATGGAGTCTATTGTGCAGTCAGACAGTGATGGTTTAGTACAAAGTTCAGTACTCAAAAAGAACATTGCAAACAATTTTCTGCCTAACTGGACAATGTAGTATAGCATATTGACCAAGCTTGATGTCCCGTTGCTAAGACTGGCCATTATGTCCAGCAGCAGAGCCCCTGTGAGAGTGAGTCAGGGGTAGATGAGGCTATTGACAGGTATGTTGTGTGGCGGTTTTAGGAACACCACTGACTTCTAAAAGCAGGCTGCTAACCAGAGCAGGTAAGACACTCAGGGTACTAGCAGGGTGTAAGTGTTCTCCTTCTCCTACTATTCCTCCTTCTCTCTAAGCAAGTCTAGGTCTAAACCCACTCCTAACTTCTACTCTCACCCCGGCAGTCTGAGCACACTGTTGACAGCAGATAGTTGTTTTGTCAGACAGCACAGTATCATGTATATGTAGTCATGTGTTAGAGCTGGGAGTCTGTTTTTGTACCAGACCATTTCTGTTTTTATCCTTCCTGCACTCTCTCTCCATGCCTTTATGTTTTGCTCCTTTGTCCTTTCCAGTCACACTGGTTTGTTGAAAATCTGTCTGTTTAGAGAAATAGTTCGACATTTTGGGAAATCTGCCTTTTGACTTTCTTGCCAAGAGTTAGATGAAAAAAAATCGACACCACTGTCATACCTGTACATGTTCAATGTAAATACGTTATATCTTGTTTGTTTAAAATGTAAAAAAAAAAAAAAATGTGAACATGACGTGGTTTTACAGGGGCTATCTGCCAGACTATTTCTTGGCCAGGGGCAGTAACTTTCTGGAGTCTTGTTGGTAGACTTGCAGAGACTTGTTTTTACACTTTGGTTTTTGTACAGATTAAACAAACACATTCATATATAACATCTTATTCAGTGTGTTTTAGAGGTGTTGGTAGGCTTATATTGTGTAACCTTTTGACAAAAACATGCTAGCAGTTTTACCTGTTTCCAGTCTTTGTGCGAAACTACGCTAAACGGCTTCTTGTGGTACCTTCATATTTACCATACAAACATTAGAGTTGTATTGATCTTCTCAACAAGAAAGAAGGAGAATAAATTATCCAAATGTCAAACAATTTCTTTAAAATGGGTATCATGTAGCACATTTAGAGTAAGTAGTACTGTTGGCTGTGTTGGACACACATATTTGAGTATATTGAAAAGCAAGCTCTCTCTCTGAGTGATATATTACTGATCTTTTCTCCATGTGTGTGTTTAGGTATGATAATCCTTTGAGCCCTATAGGGCAGCACATCTCCAGTGACCTGGGTCTAACAAAGAGACACTTCTTTGAGATCCCCAGTCCACACTGCAACCTGGACCTGGATGAATATGAATATGAAGATGACTTTGAATGACCCTCGGCCCTGTAGCGTTTTCTCACAAGCATGCTGAGCACCATGGCTAACACAGAGCGCAACCAGCAGTGTTAGTGGATGAATCGCATCAAGCCAGAGATTTACAGGTTCAGGCCCAGTACTCGTCTCGCGTAACAGGAAACACGTCAATAAACAGGGAGTGAAAACAAAACCAGAGGACACTGTCGGAGCACGGGTGGGTTCAGATGTGTTGGAGGAATTGACACAGTATCACATGTTTGACCAGGAAATGTGAAGCAGTCTGAGTAGAAGGAGGTTCTTCACATTACTACTATACTAGATGTTTTAATATTTTCACCAGCCGCACTTAAAGAAGTCATTACAACTGACTTCATGATGTCACAGGCAACAAATTTAGACCTTTGCTCCATTCCCACATGATAACACATCCATTTGCATGTAATGCTTTGTACAAATAATGTTTGGGGCAAGTGTTATTTCATCTTAACATCAGTACTGTGTAGTCACATGAGCTAAATCCCATTCATTACACACTGGAGCTCCCTGGATTTGTTGGACAGAAACTACGTTGATTAGATTCAGGTTTTGAACTAATTATCATCTGAAGTCATTGGCTAATGTTACATTCCAGTGATCATAACAGAAGGTTTTCTATACAACTGTAAATTCATTAATTTATGTTTGTTGAAATAAGAAGTTACCGTAAATGCCAAATCAGCCACCATTGAGCCTGCTGTGTACACACACACACACACACACACACATACACACAGAGTTCAGACTGCCACACACACTGTATATTGTACAGACCTGTATTCATTATGACATAGATTTACTGTATGTGTGAGTTGGGGTTATAAATTATTAGAGATGAATTTATAAATATCTGTAAATATTTATTCTGTGCTTGCTGTGTTGTAAATGATTGGGGAACGTGTTTTAGAATGTGTTATTTTCTATGTTATAAAGTACTTAATTTGAATGTGCTTTGACAGAACAAAAGGAACCAATTTTAAAAATGTTTTGCTTTTCTTTAAATTAATAAAGCCTTGGAAGAGTAAAGAGAATGGATTGTGCAATTTAATTTGATCTATCTAGTATCATATATTCACTGTTAGATTTTTAACACTATAGATGTTAGCTAAATACCACAGAAACAATCATATTTCCAGAATGTAAAAAGCACTGTGTTGGGGATTATGCTGTACGCAAACATAAATACAAATGTTGAAAGGTAATGAAACACTTTGAAATATCCCTCTTGTAAAATGTCTTCATGGGATTTAAGTGGAACATGGTGTAAAGGTATTAATGAAAACGTTCAGCAATACTACACCTTTGTACCATTGTTTTTATTTAGCTTATTTTACAATAATAGTATGTACTCTAACCTAACCATTTCCTATAAGGAGCAATAATAGGCAGGACAATAAAGCAGAATTCTTAATGTAGTGACATAATTAGACAAATTTTGGACCTCACACTTGGCCCTCAAATGAAAGTGGTCTGCATAAAATACTCTTGACGTTAGTCTGATAATATTTGAAGAATAAGATTGTGTTATTCTTTCTTTCTCACTGTTAACAAATCACATGAAAAGACATCTCCTTCCATTCCAATACTTCCATGCCCTGTATGTGGCCCCAAGCCTGTTGGTTTCTACTGAAAAAGTTAAATCTTTATTACCTGATCCCAAATATATAATGTTTTTTAATAAGTCAGTAATTTAATAAAACAGCTGGTTGGGGTTTTCAGCTGCAAATTAATACACATTTGGTGAGCTAGTCAGTATTTACAGCAGCATGACAGTGAATATGGGATGGAGTCACAGTAAACTAAAGTGCCCATGTGTTTTTGTACTGTAGGAAAATGTCATCACATTGTTGTGTTTGTAATCCTTTCTGGGTTATGGCATTCTCGCACCCGCAGCTGGTTGTCGCTAATCAGCTGCAGGTATAAGGAGCCCTCGAGGTTGGAGGAGAGGAGTGTCGGATCATGTTGGCATCGTGTGTGCTGTGCCGTATTGTGTCACCTGCTTGACTTTCCACCCCAGGAATTCAAATTAGCTGTTAGTCCCACATCCCCTGGATGCCACCGGGACGTAACAAGGCCTTGGATACACAGGTAAAAGGGTAACTAGTTGGACAAATTCTTGTTGGTTTTAGTCTTTCCATAGGATTTATTGACAGTAAGAAAAATTTTGAATATCACTAACTTATTCTTTAAAACTATGTCCTCATATTAAACATAGTATGCTGCATTTTCAACACACCTGGACGCTTGGATGTCTGCACATCAGAACAGAGAAAGACACAAAAAAAAAGGAACGTTTGTGATGGCCAGTGAGGTCGTGGCGTCTGGACAGAAGCACCAATTCTCCACAGCTCCCTCACGTTTAAAGTTCAACGTCCACAGTGTCATCATCCGCCTCGTTGCCCGTGCTGAGGACAGATCCCTCGAAGTTCAATCTTGTTACAGGATGTTCCACAGGGACAGCAAAAGGATCCACATCATTTGATTTTTCCTGTTGGCTGAGGAGTTGAGGTGTGTTTTTAATATGGACGAGGTGAAGATTTGCTGTATATCTGTCTTTTAAAATGAATATGAATCTGAACGTGAGAAAGGATTCCTGAGCCTCACCTTGGACTGAAGCTGGACCTGTGAACTTTACCAACTTTGGAGTCAGTGGGGCTGAACAGGCAAGGGGGCTTGCTTCCTGAAAAAGAAAACACGCGATGCAGCTGGTGCTTGGTGACAATAAGGAAATGAAAGGTATGTGCTTGATTTTGGTGTTTAGTGTTATACCATCCAGTTTTTGTTTGGAGAAAGGCAAGCGATTGGGCAGGTAGGGCTTCCTGTCAGAGCTAACATAGGACACGGCGTCCTCTCCTTCAGCAACAGCCAAGAGGGAAGCACGATAGTAGATAAGCGGCTGCCAGCACTCCTGCCTGAGGTCAATTATGTGCTCTACAGTGTGCTTTTGCAGGTATGAGAACCTGCACGTACAAGAACACTTTGTTTCAAGGTAAGGACATTTAAAAGCCTGTTTGTAACCTTGTACACTGTGTGCACCACTTACACTGTTTTCTTGTCTGGTTTGAGCAGTTTACTGGAGAACTCACTGAGGATGGTCAGGTAGGAGAGGTACAATGGAGTAGGTGTTTCTGGGGTCTGACTAAACTCTTGGAACACAAACTCTATGCCATTTCTGCACATTTTAAAACACAACACACGCAGACTTTAGGTACAAAAACCCACAAAAAACGACTCCCACGTAATGAGAAACAAGAGCCTGCGCTGACCTGTGGATCATGACGACGCACTCACGAAACTTGACAAGGTCCCCGAAGGTGAGGGCGAACCGCCTGGCCAACTCTTTGATGCTGGTGAAGGTCTGGACTCCTGGCTGAGCCCTACCACCGCTCTCCTGCTCTCGCTTGAGACGAACAAAAAGCTGAGGAAAGGGGAGGAAAAACACATCAGCATCATGCAGCTCGCAGATGCCAGTTTTTAAGATATGTATGGAGCAACTATACCTGCTGCAAACAAAGCACCAGTGTACGAGCACTCTCTATCTTATCTATCTGCCTGGTCCTGTACATGGTCTCCTTGATGATGTCTCCAAAGTTGTTATAGTACTGGGGACAAAGGGGGAGAAATAATATGGGTAGTATGTAGTACATACTAGCATTAAAGGAATACAAAATACGCTCATTTACTTTCTTGCAGAGAATTGGAAGAGACTGACGCCACTCTCATGTCTGTTCATCAAATATGAGCCAGCAGTCAGGTAGCTTAGCTTAGCATTAATGACTAGAAAGGGGTGTAAACAGCTAGCCTGGCTCTGTCCAAAGGTAACGAAATTCTACCAGCTCCTCTAAAGCTCACTAATAAATACATTTTATTTTAATCCATACAAAACTGTCCAAGTTCCAGTTTTATGACGGCCTATTTCTTTGTCGGGCGCAGTGACTTCCTGGAATCTTCTCTTGACCCATAACTAGTCCAGCACTCCTACTGCTCCTCATACAAACACAGCCTATACTTTACATTTTAGCTTTTGAGTGTATTAAACAAATGAGACACAACACGTTAATCAATGAGCTTTATTGTGTGTTCATAAAGAACACAAGGTGAATTTGAGAGGCAGCATGAATGCATAGACAGTCAATAGAAAGAGGCATTTGGACACTCCCACACACATTGCTAGATAGCTCACAGCTACTATCTCTACAGTCCGTTTATTGGCTGTTTGTGTCCAACACAAATGTGTTGCGCAAATGACGCAACACAGCTTTACAGGTGCTGGTAGGCTGATTTTGTCACCTTTGGACAGAGCCAGGCTAGCCATTTCCTCTGTTTCCAGTCTTTGTGCTAAGCTAAGCTAACCAGCTGCTGGCTATAGCTTCATATTTACCTTACAGTCATGATCAATCTTCTCATTTAACTTTTGGCAGGAAAGCTAATAAGCATAGTCCCCAAAATGTCAAACTATTCCTTTAAAGGAGTTAACCTTTACCTTCATGTAGTACATGAAGACCTCAGCTGCCATGCTCATCTCCAGCACCCCATGCACTATCAGCTTGCAGTAGGCAGCGAGCAGGTTTCTACGTTTGTGCAGGTCCTCCAGCCTCTCCACTTCAGAGTTTTCACTGACTGAGGGAGCCAGATGGAGTTGAAGCGTGGGGTTGTGCGATGTGAAGTGGTCGAGAACGAGAGAAGGGGAAGGGGGTGAAGTAAGAAGAGTGATTAATCATGAGAAATCATATAACAGAAAGAAAAGAACAAAGCAGAGGCGGGAAAGAGTGCTTTACTTAGTTTCAGAACAATGGCTTTAGCAGGTGGAAATCAAAGATAACATAAGACTAGAGTTATGGTTGTGACACCATGTGGCTTCAATCTTTCACAAGGCTAATAAAATAGGCTCCGAGGTGAGCCAGAGTTAATGGAATTTTCTCACGGAAAGAGATTGCCCTGATTTTATGATTTAACTCAGTGCCTTTGCCCTCCGAGTGATCTCTGATCCAGCAGCTAATAGAAAACACTGTCTATATAACAAAACCATTACCAGGCATATCCAATAAAACAATAGCTTTTCATTACATGTTCAAAAACCAATAATCCTGTATTGTATTTGGTTGAACATTTAAGAGATTCCCACCAGGGCAGCTATTGACGTCTCTGGACTATCCCATATTTGGACGCAATATGGCTCTGAGAGTAGAAGCTATTGTAAAGATAATGAAATATTTTAGTTACAGTCAGTCATGAATTAATTAATAACTTTACCTGCAGGACTTTATAAAGTGTATTTCAAACATGTCAATCTTGTTTTGCCCGTTTCAGAACAGACGGGAACATACTGCCGCCATCAATTTACAAGCTGCATCTCTTTGCATAACAAAGTCTTAACATCCTTTCATACAAATTAGTCAAGCCACTTTCAGTCTGAGGATATTAACAGGGCTTCCTTTGTAATTGAGGGTCAACTGTCAGGTCAGGTTGGAAATCAGACCCCATTTACAGTCAGCGAGCAGCTCTGCAGTGAGTTATTAAGCCATGTGTGGCCATGCATTTAACATCTGCATGTTTTTACCACGGGGAGCTGCTGCACTGAATCATTGCCTCTCTCAGAGCACCGAGAGGCCCGAGAAAAGATGCTGCGCTGCGACAGAGTGAGAGTGCCATCTGCTGTTTAGGACTGCAATGTGTTTACTCCTGGGTGTCCCACACACTGCCTGGGTACATGGATGTCAAACACACCACTACGAGAGCTGTGTGAGAGTGCAGTGGTGGAAAGTAATTAAGTACATTTATTCAAGTAGTTTACTGACGTACAATTTTTAGGTACTTGAGTATTTTCACTTTCTGCTACTTTATACTTCTACACTGCATGTCAGAGAAAAATACTGAACTTTTTATGCCGATACATTTAACAGCTGGAGTAACTTGCTACTTTTAAGATTCACTTAAAGTCCAGTCTCGGAAGGTTTTTAAGTTTCCACATCACACTTGTGTAGCCTAGCGACATGCGATATAACAAAATCCTGCACATATGTCCAAGAGT